CAGATGTCAGCGACCGCCCGGCGCCCTCTGACCCCCAGGCTGAGCTGCAGTTTTACCTGGTGGTGGCTTTGGCCTTGATCTCGGTGCTCTTCCTCCTCGCGGTGATTCTGGCGGTTGCCCTGCGCCTGGGACGCTCCTCCCGCCCCGCTGCCTGGGGCTGCTTTCAGCCTGGTCTCTGTTGTAAGACTGGACCAGGGGTTTCTCCCAACTACAACCCGGGAACTTTGCCTTATTCCTACAATATGTGCGTTGCCTCTGATTCTCAGAAAGCAAGGCTTAATTTTCTCACTATGACGTCAGAAATGGGCCTCCAACAAGAACTCTCTAATGAAGCTTCTTTGGTAATAAGTTTCACTGAGGAGAATAACCAATTAAACTCTCACACTGATGCTTCTGCTCACGTGAGTGTCAATAAACAGGTTTGGTTTAATTTTCAAAATATTTTGGCAAAAGAAGTCCTAAACAGATCCTATCTACTATCACTTCATTTGCTTACCCACTCTCAGTATTTTCTTTTCTTTTCTCTGTGGGCCAGTAACTTCATTATTAGCCCTCAAGTATTTTGAAATATTTTGACAATTTTACCTGAGATAGTCTTTATCCACGTACACACAATATCTCCTTTATGGTGACAAGTGGGTATTATGATGCTGTTGCCACAGAAATATTTGTAACTGAAGCATAAATGTTTTGTTTCTGTGGGTGTTTCTCAGAACATCAATATCTTGAGTATATAAGGCTTTTTCTTTATAACTACAAAGTGAGAGGAAAATGCACAAGAAGAGTTTCATTTTTTAAAGATTTTATTTATTTGAGAGACAGAGAGAGCACTAGCTGGGGAGAGGGCAGAAGGAAAGGGAGAAACAGACTCCCCGTTGATCAGGGAGCCAAACTCAGGGCTCAATCCCAGGACCCTGGGATCATGACCTGAGCCGAAGGCAGATGCTTAACTCACTGAGCCATCCAGGCACCCTGACAAGTTTTATTTTTAAAGGACAGAGTAATGTTTTGATAATACTCCATTACATTTGCTAGGGATTCTTTGAATCTCACTGAATAGGCCAATTTTATTCCCAGTCTTTTATCAGAACTACCTGTAGATTTCCTCCCAGTTTAAAAATATGTTGCGGTATGCCTGTCAAATATGCTTATCCTCAGAATCCAAACATTTACATTCATGAAAGCAGAAGAGTGAGAATTTTTTCCTATATTTTGATGGGCTTTCAAATGTATTACCAGTCATTTTCAGTAAATGGAATTGGGTTTGTTACTCAGAAAAAGGTAAGCTTATAATATTCTTTGGATTGCTAATTTTCTCAAACATGATTTTGAAATATAATGTATTAGTAAGTTGTAAGGTACTACCCTTATTTCCAGTAAATGCAAGTTGAAATGCTTCAATTTTGTCCTAAAAATGTTAATGGGTCTTACTCACTTGACTTCTTGTCAGTGTGCTTCTGATAATGTATACAATTGCATTTCTTATTTTTAGATTTCCATATTGTTGTGAAATTTTGATTTCTAAATATTAAGTATTGACAACCTTTTAAAATAGCTCCTCTCTTTAGGTATATTTAAAAATCTGTAAAAATCTGCCCCCTATTACAGCCACGTGAGAAAGTTTAATTTATTCTATTATATGATTTCTCAAAATAGGAAATGCCTAGGAAGATATCCCATAATAGGTATTTTTTGGGGGGTGGTGATATCAAATTAGGTGCACTAAAATTATACGGTTAAAATTACTTTGTATGGAAACTTCACATTCATTTAAAAGCTCATTGGAAAAACAGAATACAGCTACAGAAAATAATCTCAAGAAAGCGGCTCTGTATGAAAAATTTTTGAAAAATACAAAGAAGTTGACTGAAATTTCTATTAAAAGGAACACTGTAGTTTTTTAGTTGGCTCTACTTACATCCCTATTTGAAGAACAGTAGGTGGAGCTATTTAAGGTACAAAAACCAAAAATCCTTCCTGGAGTTCAAGATTGTGCAGTAATTGGTTAGGACTCTGAGCGCCGCTGTTCACCAATCAGGGAGAGAAAAACAGAGATCCTACTCGCCTCCTGCTTGCCCTGCAGGCGCCTGAAGCACAGCCCAGATAGAAACTAACCATCTCCGGCACTCTGAAGAAACTGCTGGATTCTGAAGACGGGGAAAACTGGTCCTGACTTCGGTGGTCTAGGGAAGAATTGGAAGTAATATCCTCCAGGAAAGTGACGATGATTCCTGAGCGACTGCATCAGGACTGCAAAGGGCTTGTCCTGCTGGGAGTTCTCCTGGGGATTCTGTGGGAAACCGGATGCGCCCAAATTCACTATTCAGTTCCTGAGGAGCTGGAGAAAGGCTCTAGGGTGGGAAACATCGCCAAGGACCTGGGGTTGGAGCCCCAGGAACTAGAAGAGCGTGGAGTCCGTATAGTCTCCAGAGGTAGGACTCAACTTTTCGCTCTGAACCTTCGAAGCGGCAGCCTAATCTCCACAGGCAGGATAGACCGGGAAGAGCTCTGTATGGGCGTCTTAAAGTGTCAATTAAATCTGGAGATTCTGTTGGAGGATAAAGTAAAAATATACGGGGTAGTAGTAGAAGTGAGAGACATTAACGATAATGCCCCCTATTTCCGGGAAGATGAATTAGAAATAAAAGTGAGTGAAAACGCAGCCACTGGGTTGCGGTTCCCTCTTCCCCACGCTTGGGATCCGGATATCGGGAAGAACTCTCTCCAGAGCTATGGACTCAGTAGTAATACTCACTTCTCCCTGGACGTGCAAAGCGGAGCGGATGGTAACAAGTACCCAGAATTGGTTTTGGAGCGCGCCTTGGACCGGGAGCAGAAGGCTGTTCATCACCTTGTTCTCACCGCCTCCGACGGGGGTGACCCAGTCCGCACAGGCACCACGCGCATCCGTGTGATGGTAGTTGATGTGAATGACAACGCACCAGTATTTGCTCAGTCTGAGTACCGCGTGAGCGTTCCAGAGAATGTGGCCGTAGGCACTAAGCTGCTTCTGGTAAGTGCCACCGACCCTGACGAAGGAGCCAATGCGGAAGTGATGTATTCCTTCCGTTATGTGGACAACAAGGCAGCCCAAGTTTTCAAACTAGATGCTAATTTAGGGACAATTTCAACAATAGGGGAGCTGAACCACGAGGAATCAGAATTCTACGAGATGGAAGTGCAAGCAGTTGATAACGCAGGGTATTCTGCACGAGCCAAAGTCTTGATCACAGTATTGGATGTGAATGATAATGCCCCTGAAGTAGTTGTCACCTCTCTCTCCAGCTCCATTCTGGAAAACTCTCCCAGAGGGACATTAATTGCCCTTTTAAATGTAAATGATCAAGACTCTGGGGAAAATGGACAAGTGATCTGTTTCATCCGAGGGAATCTGCCATTTACATTAGAAAAGTCTTATGGAAATTACTATAGTTTAGTGACAGACACACTCCTAGACCGGGAACAGGTTCCTAGCTACAACATCACGGTGACCGCCAGTGACAGAGGAAGTCCGCCCCTGTCCACGGAAACTCATATCTTACTGAAAGTAGCAGACACCAACGACAACCCGCCCGCCTTCTCTGACGCTTTCTACTCCGCCTACATCATGGAGAACAACCCTAGAGGAGCCTCCCTAATGTCCGTGACCGCCTGTGACCCCGACTATGGAGTGAACGCCCAGGTCACTTACTCATTGGCCGAGGACAGCCTTCCCGGACTGCCCATATCCTCCTACATCTCCATCAACTCCAACACTGGCGTTCTGTATGCGCTGCGTTCCTTCGACTATGAGCAGTTCCAAGACTTGCATCTGCAAGTGACAGCGCAGGACAGCGGTGACCCTCCACTCAGCAGCAACGTGTCTCTGAACCTGTTCGTGGTGGACCAAAATGACAACGCGCCAGAGATCCTGTACCCCGCCCTCCCCACCGACGGTTCCACAGGCGTGGAGCTGGCGCCCCGCTCCGCAGAGCCCGGCTACCTGGTCACCAAGGTAGTGGCGGTGGACAGAGACTCGGGCCAGAACGCCTGGCTGTCCTACCACCTGCTCAAGGCGAGCGAGCCAGGGCTCTTCGCGGTGGGGCTGCACACGGGCGAGGTGCGCACGGCGCGGGCCCTGCTGGACAGAGACGCGCTCAAGCAGAGCCTGGTGGTGGCGGTGCAGGACCACGGCCAGCCCCCTCTCTCGGCCACCGTCACGCTCACCGTGGCCGTGGCCGACAACATCCCGGACGTCCTGGCCGATCTGGGCAGCATCAGGACCCCCGCCGACCCAGGCGATTCGGACCTCACGCTGTATCTGGTGGTGGCGGTGGCGGCAGTCTCGTGCGTCTTCCTGGCCTTTGTCATCGTGCTGCTGGCGCTCAGGCTGAGGCGCTGGCACGCGTCGCGTCTGCTCCAGGCTTCCGGAGGCGGGCTGGTGGGCGTGCCGGCCTCGCACTTTGTGGGCGTGGACGGGGTGCGGGCTTTCCTGCAGACCTATTCCCACGAGGTCTCCCTGACCGCGGACTCGCGGGAGAGTCACGTGATCTTCCCCCAGCCCAACTACGCGGACACGCTCATCAGCCAGGAGAGCTGTGGGAAAAGCGAGCCTCTTTTGCTGTCAGGTAGTTCAGCGTTCTCTAAAGATAATCATGCATTAATTCAGGTGAGTACATATCAAATACTCTTCTCTGGGTTTTGAACAAAATATCTTAGTGTGGGTAGTGTGTATTTCGAATTTAGAAAGCAGACGCCAAAAATTTATATATGCGTGGTAGACACCAAGGACAACTTGGAGGCCTTCTCTCATGCCTTATTTATAACAATGTTTATGTATTTTATATATATATAAATTTATAACCACTTTGGTACTTTTAAATACTCTATTTTTTCTAATTTAATTAACCAGGTGTACCTTCTTTTAATTGGTCTTTTTATTTACCTTTGGCTGCACAACATTTTTATGTTGAACATCTGATGTCAATTTATCCATTAAAACCCCAAATTCTTGTAGAGGGATTCACTCTAATTTATGAAAAGTATAAATGCAATTTCACATAAAGTTTTATGAGTAGAGGGGTTTCTAACTACACATG